GTTGCTGTGAGACACGTGTTTCCCTTCAGTATCTAACTGTATTCTTGTATAACAAGTCTTCAGAGTAGACGTGACTGTGACCTCATGTCAAAGATGAGAAAATAAGGCTCAGGAGGATGAAGCAGCCTTCCGCAGGCTCCCTAGTCAGGAAGGGGCCGACCCTGAGTTGGTCTCGGGCTGTCTGAGGCCTCCTTTGCACACGCTTACCCTTTGCTCTGCCGCCAGAAGCATGGCCCATTCTCCAAGATGCTACATCTAGGTGAGTTCTTAAGATGCCCTCGGGCTGAGTGGCTGGGCGCTGAACTGCTAACTGAGAGGCCGGTGGTTTGAGCCCAGCAGCCACCCCGCAGAAGAAAGAGGTGGCAATCTGCTTCCAGAAAGATTACAGCCTTGGAAACCCTGTGAGAACGTTGTACTCTATCCTACTAGGTCACTGTGGCTTCTGCTCTTTGGCAATGCATCCAGCTTTAAATAAGGAGACTGGGCGGGACTTTGAGGAGCCCTGGGGGTGTCCTGTGTGAGCTGCTAACCACAAGGTCAGCAGTTCAAAAGCACCCGATGCCGCTTAGGAAGAAGATGAGGCTTTTTACTTCCATCAAGATTGATAGGCTCTGGAACCCATCGCGGCGGCTCTCCTCTGTCCTATAGGGAGGGTATGATGCCAGTAGCTGGCAGCTCAGTGGCGTGGGCTGTGCGATAGGCACTGGGTTGCAAGGTCAGGGCATACAGATGAGGATATCTTCTGCCATGAAGATTCACCGGCTCACTCAGAGGCAGAACTAACTCAATGGTGGTGGGTTCTAGGTAGCTTTAGAGTTCTGTTGGGCTAATTCATTCCCTTCTTCCAGCCCCAGCTTCCAGCTTCCTGTTTGTCACGGAATTGAGGTGGCAGCTTACAGAACACTGTCAGGGGTCGGGCTTTTAAGGTGTGGAAAACAATCCAGGCATTTTCTTGCACTAAAACCCACTAACCCAACCTTACTGCTCTCTGGTCAATTCTGACTCAAAGCATTCTAACAGGACAAAGGAGAACCACCTCCTAGGATGGTCGAGACCAAACCTTTATCTAAGTAGACAGCCCCATCTTTCACCCACAGAGCAGCTGGGAGATTTGAACCACCGACCTCCCAGTTAGCAACCCAATAGGGGGTCCCGCACCAGCAGCCTCCTTTCTTGCGCCAAAGTAAGGCAACATATGCACCCGCTCCTGGTGGCCTACAAATTCAACGTAAGACACGGTTACAAGCGGACCTTGGGGGCTGTCTGGGCTGGCCTTTCCAAGAAACCTGGGGGTGGAGGGGGCGGGTTGAAAAAGAGGCATTTGTCTAGGAAATCCACCTGGTTGTGCCCTGAAATATAAACACTGACCCAAAGAAGAGGAAAGGAAAACACGTAACCGATGATTGGAACGACTGCACGCAAACAACTGGGCCAAGCTCAGCAGCCCCTCTCGCCAGCGTTCGCGTCCCTCACGATGTTTGCAGAGGCTTTCTGCTTTGCCAGAGGAGATGAGAAGAAACGCTACACTTTGCAAGCCACAGGTTAGCCCCCCAGCACTCAGACAGTGTTTGATAAACGTTCCCGAACACACTCATGTGTCTATTGATAAGCCACTGGAAGACGACAATTTTCAGAACATGACATGTTAGAGACGACTCTCTTCAAGGCATGCTCTCCCACACAAATAAAAGCCTGGGGACAAGAACTTGAGTCCTCTGGAGTCTCCCCGCTTGCTAGCAGAGCCACTCAGAGACACTGCAATGGATTGAACATGCCTTCCCAAAAATGTGTGCTGTAGATATGTAAAACCCTAGGCCTGCGGTCGTAATGACATTTGGGAACGGGTTGTCTTTCTTATCTGTTAAGGAGGTTCGGTTAGTGTAGTCTCTCTTTTGAGATCATAAGTGAGCAGCAGGGTGGAGGGGCGGTTAGATCAGATGCCAAGACATGTAGAGCTCTTCACGGAACCAGGAACCAACAGCTGAAGAGACACAGAAGGACCTTGCTCCTGAGCCAGCAGAGAGAGAAAGCTTTGCCAAGGCTGGCGTCCTGCCTTTGGACTTCTGGGCTAGTGGTTACAAGTCGGGCTGCTAATGGCAAGGCAAGCAGTTCAAAACCACCAGCCACTCCTCAGGAGAAAGATGAGGCTCTCTACTCCCGTCGAGAGGGATAGTCTCAGAAACCCACAGGCGCAGTTCCACTCCATTCGATAGACTCGCTATGAGTCTGAATCAACTCCGGGGCAGTGAGTTTGGTTTGGTTTGAGTTACCGTCTTGGAAACCCAAAAGGAGCATTCTATTCTCGATGACAGTGAGAGGGAGTGAGCCTCGTACATTGTGAGAAAAATAGAGCCATCCACTGGTGATCTGTCGCAGCAGCAGGAGGGAACGAAGAGAGGGGCCTCCAGAGTGGTGTTCCCAAACATTTCTGACTGGAACCCCGGTCAGACATGCAGGGAGCATTTTGAGGCAGGACTTAAGACACCCCTATTCTCGTCGGCCCCCGCTCATGTTCTACATGTGCTCTCGTGCCCACCGCCTCCCTCCTCCCCACTCCTCCTCCGTCTCTCTCACACACACATTTCATGGAAGCAAACATTTCACAAAGTATTTCTCTGTATCACGAGCCATTAACGCTAACCTCTGCTCCTTTATTCTTCTACGGCATTGCATAAAAGGTCTGGTCCAAATACCTTCCATAAATTTCCTAATGGCTTCCAGGGTTGCATGCCCGAGTTTAGAAGCCATGTTTGAAACCAGCTCAATGTAGCTGCTCGGACCCAGCGCCCTGCAGAGGAAGGAGCTGCAGTATCTGTGTAGCAGGAGGTCCAGGAGGCTGGGACATACACAGCCATGCGTTTCAGTTTACACGTCGTCTTCAATGGATAACCCAGGGGTCGGCCAACTGGCTCTTTCAGTGCCTACAGGTGGCTCTGACGTAAGATCGAAACTGAAAACAAACGTATCCTAGTTTCACTGATAACATGACTTTAAATTTTCCTCACTTCGTAAAAAATACATCTATAGCTCTCGAGTAAGTTTTAAATTGTTGCGAGGGACAGGATCGGCTCTTCCATCTCAAAAGTTTGCCACCCCCTGATAGAACTACGTGACTTTTTAAAACATCGTTTAAAAATCTGTGTGACCTTGGGGAATCGCTTGACTTTCCTGACTCTTCAGTTCCTCTGTGTAATGTCGGACGGTGGGAACATGAGGTGACCTATCTGAAAAGCGCCCAGCCCAGGACATAGCAGGACCACAGATGTGAACTCATCCACCCAGCGGATGCGCCGTCGAGCACCAGGTGCTACAGCACATTACTTTCCCGAAAAAACCCAGGGCATGTCAGCTGTTCCTGGAGCGGTCGTCATTCCACCAGGGAAGACAGGTGACAAGCAAATACACATAGAGAATGCCAGGGAGTGACATCGGCAGCCCTTGTTTCCAAGTGCTGCTGTCATAAAGCACCACCTACGCGGGGGGTGAAACAGCACAGCATTCTTACTGTCTGAAAGTCATCTGCCTGTCCACAGAGCCACCTCCCAGAGCTCAGACTAAGAGACAAGCGACAGACATGTCCTTTTTCTTTCAGTAGAACTGTCTGGGGTAGCAGAAGCCATACTGGATCCAGCCCGGCCTCGGTGTTAGAATAGCTGGGTGCCATTAGGCCACCTTTCTCACATACTGGCGAGTCCCTCTAGTAGCACAAAATGGTTAAGCACAGAGCTCCTAACCCTAAGGTTGGTGGTTCAGATCCACGCACAGGCACCTTTGAAGAAAGGCCTGGTGATCTGCATGTTTTAGATCGGCCATGGAAAACCGTACGGAGCACAGTTCTACACGGACACACATGGGATCATCGTGGGTTGGGATCAACTCAGTGGCAAATCATTTGGGTGTTTGGGGGGGTATGAAATACTATCAAGTGCTTGGCCCTCACAGATTCACTCTTCTCCGTTTTAGTCAACTGTCAGCAACCCCAAAAGTCTGTGATTAGGACTGTCTCATTTGGTTGACATGCAGAATGTGTGGGGAGAGAGTGTGGCTCCTCATCAACCTGGAGATCACTGAGCCAACCCGGTAGCTAGGAGTCAACATCCTAGAGCAGCGGTTCTCATCCTGTGGGTCGAGACCCCTTTGGACAGCAAACAACCCTTTCACAGGGGTCGCCTAAGATCATATTTCCGATGGTCTTAGGAACCGAGACACCACTCCTCTATCTGTCTCCAGGTGGGTTCGCCCACATGCAGATACGCTCACATACGAGGTCACCACACCATGAGGAACTGTATTAAAGGGTCGCAGCACTGTCCTGGAAGCCTTTTCATTGGTCAAACTCTTCACCCTTAGTTCCTTCCTGGGGTTGTCCTCCTGGTCAGGGACAAATGCCAGGCACCAAATGGAAGCAAAATCTTAGTGAACATTGAAAAGATTAACTTGTGGGGTACGATATGCCCAGACACGACACAGGGGGAAAGCCACGTTCTTGAATGCGCCTCTCCAGATTTCCAAATTTAGGACTATCCGAGCGCTCAGGGTGTACGCTTCCTGACCACCAATCTGGATTATGTGCCGCCTATCTCCTGCTCATGCATGAAGCCTGCATTGAGAGCCTTGGGAGCAGAGGGTCGCTTCCATAGCATCTCATTGCCCCTGCCGCGTCATTGCACATGATTGGAGAGAAAACTACCTGCAGACTTATGCTTACCCTGGCCTGGTCTTGTGTGTAATCTCACTGCGTTTGTTTTATTTCAGGGAAAACTGGATGCCTTGTGGGTCCTCCTAAGGAAAGGATATGACCGTGTGTCCGTGATGCGTCCACAGCCAGGAGACACGGTAGGACCTGTGATTGGCGTCTCGAACAGCCCCACGCATTCTGATGTGTTCCCTCTCCCTCTGTCTTCTGACAGAGCTTCGATAGTTACAGACTCCTATTACTCTGTTGGGGGAAATCAAGTGCTAATTTTCAAAACGTGGACTTCTACAAGACCTAGAGTTATGTATTTGCTTTCCTGCCAAGGCCTTTGACAGAGCTCTATGTCGGGTTTAGCTTCGTCGATGTGCTTCTTAATATATAGGGGAAAGGAATAAATTAAGTGGGGCTGGCTGCTGGTTAGGGCCATGCCAGGAGGGCGATCTGCTGGTGCCCCCACACTGGCCGGGGATGCGGAACAGAGCGCAAGCCCTGTCAGGAGGGGACAAGAGAATAAGGGACTGTAGAAAATTCCCACCACTGACAGCAGGTGTTGAGCTCAGTGGGCCCAGCACCATAGGGATCTTCTGCCTAGGGAGCATCCACTCAGAATCTGGCAGGGCCAAGTGCAGAGTGTCTTCAAGCTTGGAGGGGTGAGGGAAGACGGCGCCCACCAAAGTCTTAGAAAGCATGTCACCCTTCCCTCTCCCTCTGTAAATGAGGAAGCGGAGGATCCAAGAGGTTGAGTGATGGGTTCTGGTTCCGATAATAAGTAACAAAGGTGAGAACGGCCTCCATTCTGCCGAAATCAAATCACTGCTCTTTCTTATGATAAGAACGAGCCCCTTCCTTTTTCCCCAGAAGTTTGACAGAGCAATGCTTCGGACCAAATTCCCCCTCTGTTGTCAGTAACATACATCTTTCATCTGCTTCTCTGTGAATGCAAACTGAGTAATCCCAACACTGATGAAAGGTGACTCGTTTGAACACCTTTAAACTCAGGCAAGCTTGGGTTTGCATCTCACCCTCCCATCCCCACCTCTTCCCTCCTGACCGACCCCTCTCAACCTCATCCGTGTAAAACAGATGATCCTAACTTAATGGACACGCACCCTCAATCAACGGCAAATATTGTGACTCTTTTCTTGGTGGACAGCTGACGCTAAAATTCAAACCATATTACAATAGCTGCGTGCCGGGTGCACTCCCATCTGCGCCCTGCCCACGCTGGCTTCAGCATGGTACAACGCAGAGACACGAGAACAGAGGCTGGTAGGCAGGTCCTGACACTCCATTCCCTTGACAATGGGTGGTTTGTGGCTGGGGGACTGGTTATTACTGCTCCCTGAGGTATGCCTGTGCCACGCTGTGGCAGCGACAAGAGGTAAGTATGACAGGAAACCGGGTCCCACCAATGCTGGGTCAAGCAGGCTCTCGTGGGATCCGTTCCTTTGTCTGCAAATGGCAACAAGCACACTTTCCTTTTTTCAGTAGCACATCTTAAAAACTGTTCACTTAACAGAAATGAGCAGCGCAGACCATCAAGTTTGAACGTGGTGGCGGGGGAGGAAATGTTTGGCCTTATAAATGATCTCTCTAGCTCCCATGGGGAAATTGAGGAGCTTTTTTGGTTTTACCACGCATGAGCCTCATCTAACTGATGAATCACCAAAAACCAGGAAGCACTCAAATTAGGGTTTGGAAGCACTACTTTCTGTATATAAGAATGAACATGCTGTTACAGTGTATTAGCTCCCCTCTCTTACCTGACTTTTATTTATTATTATTATTATTATTATTATTATTATTATTTTATAGCAGTTGAAAAACATCTCCATTCAATTAATTTAACATTCTAAATTCTCTGCTGACCAGTTTGCCAGGATCCCGTTCATAAGCTGTTTCAACCTGAGGAGAGGGAGGAGTGTTGGCTAGAGGAAAGCTAGAAGGAAATTCTATGATTAATAAGTCTAAGAAACAACCCTCTTTGTTGGTGTGTAGGGGCATGGGGTTGGGGGATGCCGGGAGCCCTGGTGACATGAGAGGCAACAGACACACAGATCCAAGAGCAAAGCCACAGAAACCGATGGGATCTCCTTCAACTACCACCTAATCCTGAGGGAACCTTTGCGTTCATGGTCTTGACAACGCACAGATACATCCTGTGCTTTTGAGACCTACAATGCCGCCCTGCACTTACATTCTCGGGTTTCACAAAAGAGCAGGCCTGAGATGTAGGCCGTTGAGTTCCAGGGCAGTGAAACAGTCCACCCAACCGGCTACTAACCAGGGAGTTGGAGATTGGAGCCCACTCAGAGCTGCTTCAGGGAGAAAAAAAGACGAGCGGTGTCCTTCTGAAAAGTCAGCCCTGGACAGCCCCACAGAGCCCAGCCCGAGTGACCCTGGCACCAATGGGGTTACTGTGAGTCAGAGCCGGCTTGACAGCAACTGTGTGGTGCAATCGAGAGAGGAAGTCCCAGGATTGGAATACACTGGAAGGTACATGGAGCTGTGGATGCAGAGAACTGTGCCCTGCTGGTCATGGTAGTGTCCGCAGACATCTTGGTGGCCTTAAGAAGCTAGGTAAGGCGGGTCTTAGATTAGTTGGCAGTGGGTTTCCAAGTGGCATGAGAGCCCCTTGGCATAATTACCAAGGAAAGCACGGCCCCTCTTAGAGCTTTGTGTTTGCCCTGTCTGTTTCCCAAAACCTCGCAGGCTTTCTGCAGACCTGCCCTGCTGGCCCGGTGGGTGATGGCTGAGGATTCCTCAGCCCTGATTTGTGGGCCTGACCACATTTTCCATAAACACCAAAATTACTCCATCCCGGCATGTGCTTGTGAGCCAGAGTCACAGGTTCTGAATGTTTTCCTGTAAAACAAAAACAAAAAGTACCTAATGGCATTTTCGGTTGCAGTTTTAAATGACTTCAAACATATGTTGACCTCAGGGAAACCTGGCAGCGCTTGCTTCGCAGACCCTGTCTGCTGCAGCTGCGCCCCCTAGTGACACCACCTCAACCCTTCAGACAGAGACACTGGCCCCACACCAGCACCTCGGAGGCTGTTGCAAGAGGATGAGAGCCTTCACTGCAGAGAACCGGGCTGAGGGAAGCTGTGCTCAGAGGCACGACCCTCTCCTGGGAGGGGTGCCCACTTCCTCCGAGCTGTCAAGCCCAGGGTCAGGGCAGGCATGAATGAGATGACAGCCGGAGACACACACAGGGCAGCCTCTGCCTCCTTTGTGCCTGGAGGCTCGGGGGGTGGGATTGGGGTGGGATCATGCTCCCACTGTTTGGGGGAGCCATCAGCACATCTTCTTTTATGTCATTAATAGAGAAGGTGCTAGAAGAAGCCACTTAAGTAGCAAGCCAGCAAGACATCTAATCCTAAATGTTTAAAAGTTCACCAAGCATATATTTTTTTGCTTAAGTCTTTCATACTTTCAGGCCACAAACTGCCGCAAGGCTCTCTCTAAAACACAGATCTCAGCATGCTATTCATCAGCCTCAAATGTGCAAAGAGTACGAAAAGGCTTGATTTAGAACCCCTGGTGGCTTCGTGGTTACACATTGGGCTGCTAACTGCAAGGTCAGCAGTTCAAAACCACCAGCCACTCCTCAGGAGAAAGATGAGACTCTCTACTCCCATAGAGAGTGATAGTCTCAGAAAATCACAGGCGTGGTTCCACTCCACTCGATAGAGTCCCTATGAGTCTGAATCAACTCCAGGGGAGTGAGCTTGGTTTGGTCTGGATTGGTCTGGTTGGGTTTGGAGTTTTTGGAGGCCTTTCCACTAAAGAGTTCCGGTGGCACAGTAGTTGGAGCACTGGCTACCCTATGGGGCACTTCTATTCTATCTGTGAAGGGGTCAACTCAATGGCAGTGAGTTGGGTTTGGGATCACCCTTCTACTCCCCCTTCACTCCTGGTACTCTGGTCATTCCAAATATGCTCCCACTACAGGAATTGCTCTCTGGTCCCGGAACGTGCCAGAACCTTTTGAATCTCTGTGCCTCTGCATATCGTTTCCCCGGCTGGGAATGGCTCTCCCAAACTGTCTCCCTAGTGAGCACGCATCACCTTGGTAATGTTCATGGTCACCAAGGTGTCTCTGGAAACACCAAATGCTGCAGGCTAGACCCATGCTTGAAAGGGCACCTTATTAAACCAGAGCACATTTAATGAAAACCGAGTCAGACTAGGTTAGAACTGAAGCCACATTAGCTTATTTGAGGATAGTCCCTAAGACTTATCAACTCTTTTATGTTCAGAAAATCTGCTCACCTTTCATGGACAAGCGATTGAAGGAATCAAGAATATTCCATTTGAGAAAAGGAAAAGGAAAGAAACATAGGTAGTGGTAGCTTTTATAGTTGGTCATCTCTTGGCCATTACTTTGTGCCTCCTATTTTGTAACCTAGGAGCCCTGTGGCATAGAGCTGCTAGCCACGAGGTCATCGGTTCAAAACCACCATCCCACTCCACAGGAGAAAGATGAGTCACAATCTCCGAAACCCACAGGGGGAATTCTACCCTGCCCTATAAGGTTGCCATGAGTAAGAATCAATTCAACGGCAGTGAGTTATTCGTTATTTTTTGTCACCTATTCTCTATCACTTAACCATATACAATTCAGATTCTTCCATACTACTACATATCCTTGTGCCATATCATTCTAATAGCGGTGTCATATTCCATTGTGTTTCTGTGCCATGATAATGATGTGTGCTTCTCTTTGGGGGGACTTATCTGCAAGTGTTTCGTACAGGCAGCGCTGCAGTCAATATCCTCGTCCCTGAATCTCGGCACGCATTCATGAATAGTTCTTTTCGGTGGGTGTCCAGTGGTCCACGATCAAGCCACGCCAAATCTTTAAAGCGTTGCTCTGTCTTTCCTGCTTGCCCTTCAGAAAGATTAACTCTCGTGTTAGCATCTAGTCAAAACCCAACTCTGAGAATCTCGTCAACATAATTAAACCCAGCTATTGATAGGGACCTGCGTCCTGGTGGCATCATGGGGTATGCCGTGGGTTACCAACCACAAGGTCAGCAGTTCGAAACCAGATGAGGCTCTTGTCCCCATAAAGACTTATAACCTCAGAAATGCACAGGGTCCGTTCTACTCTGCCCTTAGGCCCACTGTGAGT